TTGAGACAGGGTTTCCCTGTAGCCCCAGCTGGCCTGAACTCACTATGTAGATCAGGCTGGCCTGGAACTCACAGAGATCCATCTGCCTCTGCCTCACAAGTGCTAAGATTAAAGGCATGTGCCGCCACGGCCAGACTTTTAAATAGGTTCAAATGAAGACCCTGTCTCAAAAAGAAAAACAAACAAAGAAAAAAAAAAACAAAAACCTGAAATCAGTGCATTTAAGCCCGTTCCACAGGAAGGAATTTGTGTTCAATTCCACAAACTTAGTCAAAAGCCCATGGCAAGAAAGGTCACAGGCCCTATTAAGAAGCTACTGTTGCATGTAGGTAAATGCACCCGTGTTGTGCAATGCCCATGGAGGACAGAAGAGACTGTCAGATGCCTTGGAACTGGAGTTACGGACAGTTGTTAGCTGCCACGTGGGTGCTAACTGCCATGTGGGATTCGAACCTGGGTCTTCTGCAAGAAGAGTCAGTGTTCTTAACCACTGTGCTATTTCTCCAGCCCCCACATTTATTTCTTTAAAGTGTATGGAGAGGTCAGGGGACAACTTCTAAGAGTCAATTCTCTCCTTCCACCATGTGGGTCCTGGTCCCCATGGATTGAACTCAGGTTGTCAGGTTTGGCAGCAAGCACCTTTACACACTGAAGTTTGGGCTCGGAGCTCAGCAGACTGCCAGAGAGTGCAGGGTTCTGGCCTCCCTCTAGCCTCCAACTACCAGAGGGCCTGAGAGCCCAGGGGACAACCTGACAGCCCCTGGATCCTGCCTCCACATGGTAGTCCTTTAATAAGATGATGCTATACAGCAGTCCTTTCTGCATGAAATAACTACCATCATCACGACTTCGGCTGAGTCCGATTGCTAAACACAGTCACAACTGGGCTTGTTGACAGTTGTGTTCATTCATTAAAGGAGTGCCAAGCAGGGTCACTGGAACCTCACCTGAGTATCCAGCCACTCTTCCCAGCCAACTAGTCCAGCCTTGGAAGGCAAAAGAAAAATGAGGAAGAGCCCAAC